GCTTTCAAAACACACTTGGGAAGCAAATGTGGAGATGACAGCTAAGCCAGGCCACCTGTGCAGACCCCAGGCGGGACTCCGCGGGGGGTCAGGGCGTGTGCCCCTGGGAGCTCTGTAAGTGGTGGGAGGCCACCACTTAGGCCACCACCCTTCCCTGGGGGCGCCCTGCCTCTAGGGACTGAGGGCTCTGAGGCTATGGCGACCTTGTCCCAAGGCCTGGCTCTGTCGAGGTAGGGGAAGTCTCCACGAAGCCCCTGGAATTTTGGAGGAGGGGGCCTTGTACCCTCTTCTGTGGATCCAGGGCCATATCAGTGCCTGCTGTGTTCCGGGACCCCTGGAGCCCCCATCCGGAGGGGCAGGGTCCTGACCAGAGCAGCCCCAGGCAGGAGGGACGGGGGGAGAGTGGTGGTGGACTTTCCTCCTCACTTCCCCTCCAGTGCCCATGGTAGCTGGGAGCAGCCGACAGACACTGGGAGGCTCCCAGACATAGGCCCCAAGCTTCAACTCTGACTTGGCAAAGTGTGAGAGCCTGAGCATGCTCAGAGAAGGGAGCCCTGAGGCCCGGGACACCCCCACAGCCCAGGGGACCTTCCCGATGATGAGGCTGGAAGCCCAGCAATGCCAGGATGTCTCTCCGTCCTGGGGCTGGTAGCCCCTGACGCTCGGCAGGAGTGAGAGACACTGCACTGTTCCGAAGGGGCCCACGGCTGTGTCACATGGGCAGTCCTGTGTCCAGAGGCCCCTGGACGTCTTCAAACACGGGACACTTTGCGCAGGGCTCCCTTTGACCTTGACCTCTCTCCTATCCATGGTCTCACTCTGCCCTCCCCCTGCCCCCACCCCGGGTCAGGCCACGGAGCTGAGGCCGGATGGCCCGGGATGTCCAGAGCGGCGGCCCCTGGCCCCTGCCAATGCTCCTGCCTTTCTGCAAAGACCCCACGGGCCATCCGCTGTCCTGGCTCGCAGGCCGGGAGCTTGCTGGGACCGACTTCATGTGGTGTGTGTCCCAGAACCAGGGCGAGCTTCATTTTTTCCCACTGACGTCACCCAGCACGGTTTGAATCCGAAGTGACTTCGAAACCCTCAGAGACATAGCTGCAGTTGTCTTTGCAAAGTGGAATCAGATGGTTTTTCCAAACCTCCCCGGCCCCTGCCTCCTCCCTGACTCCCTCTCACCCTCTCTCTCTTTTATTATGTTCCTTGGACTGCGGCCAGATGTTGCCTGCAGCAGCAGCCCTCCAAAGCGTTGCAGAAAGAGCGCGCGCGCGGCTTCCTGCCTTTCGGGTGGAAGCAGCGACGTGGCAGGGCGGGGGCGGCGGCCAGGCTGCAGGCTGGGGGAGGCGTCGGTCTCCAGCCAGGGCCCAGGTCCCAACACACGGCCGGGGGCCCACAGGGCACCGGGGCAGCGCCCATCCCCGGACACGGGGCCTGGGCCTGGGCAGGGGCCAAGGGCAGGCCACGGCCTGGGAAAGAGCAGGGCGTTAAGACCAGGCTCCGGGCACAGGCTGACCCTGGGGCGCTCCCAGCTCCGTGGCTCACACCCATGGTGCTCCCAGCTCCACACCTCCATGGCGCATGGGACCCTTCATGCCCAGCAGCCTCTGCCCAGGGCTGGCATCAGGGCCGCTGCACCTGGAGCAGCTCACCTGAACGCAGGCATGCAGCCCCTCGGGGCTGGGCAGCAGGGCTGGAAGGAGGGCCAGTGTCCGTCCCGGATGGAGGCAGAGGCTGAAGAGCACGGGAGCCGCGGCCTGGACGGACCCAGCATCCGGGCCGAGGCCCGAGGCCTGTCTGGGGAAACGGGCACACGGGGCCCCCAGAGGGAAAGCCAGGCCTCCGCGATCCGGACGCCACCAGAGCCTTAGCACAGGCAGCTCGCAGCTTCCGCTGAGCTGGGGGGACCCAGAGGCCCTGCAGTCCCGCCCAGCCCCTGCCCCAGACAAGGCAGAACCCGCACGCACACACACAGAGCCCCGTCTTCCCAGCAGCCCCACCCTCGTCCTAGGTGCCTCCAGGTTCAGAATGGGGGGCGCCAAGGCTGTGCCCCCGCCTCGGTCAGCAGGAGCCCCACTCAGGGAGGACCATCCGCCCAACCAGAAACAGTTCAGTTCTCCCCAGGGAGTATAGGATGCCACGCGGATGCCCTGTGGACAGAGTTGAGAACACGGATGGGAGAGAGGAATCAAGGTCAAAGGGAGCCCCGCAAAGTGTCCCAGCCTCTGAGGACGTCCCACGGGGCCTCTGGACACAAGGCTTCCCACACGACTAGGAGGGACAGGGACCCCCCCCCCTCCCGGCTCAGGGCCAGTCAACAGGGAGGCCGACCCTGCCCCCTGGGGCTCCAGACCCCCTCTAGGCTCCCAGGTCCGCTGGAGGGACTTGCAGAACTCAGCCAAGCCGCCGTGCTCACAGTTAAGGTTTATTAGCCCAAAAGGACAGATGAAAACCAGCCCGAGGGGGTCCCAGGGACACAGGCACTGGCCCCTCCTGGGGGACGTGTGACATCATGGGGGTGCCAGCCAGGGAAGGCCCCTGAGCTCTGGTGCCTGGATCGCCTTGCAGGTGCGTCACGAAGACAAGCCTGGCCGCCCATGTCGGTGACTTTAGCTTCTAGCCCCTGCAGAGCTCTGCTTGATACCAGGGACCCTGAGCCCCCCCCCCAACCCCGCATAAACCCCATCATTTCACAGACTCCCTGGCACGGCCTGGAGCAGGTAGACGAAGATGCTTTTATCAGCAGGACGTCCCCAGTGTCCAGAGGTCCCCCCCGGGAGCTGAGCCAGGGCCTGGCCTCCCTTGGGCGTGCAGGGTGTGGGCAACCTGAGTCTGCTGAGCTAACTCTTGACTGCGTAGCAACCGTGACCCACCACGTGGGCAGTGAGCCCAAACGAGCCCAAGCTGAGGAGGCGGAAAGGGAAAAAACCCACCAGACGCACAGCAGGTGTGAGGGCAAGGCTGTGCTGCTGAAACCTCCTCTCGGGTGACAGGACAGAGGCAGACCCAGGCGCCCACGCAGCCCACCTCTCAGCAGAGGAGCCAGGCCACATCTCAGGGACCACCTAAGAGGCCAGGACTGACTGCTGGAGGAGCTTCTGCCCCATCACCCAAAGCTTCTTCCTCAACTTCCCATGCCACGAGCACCCTTCACGGTGGTCCCTGCCTCAAATCCCCAGGACCCCCGAGGAGAACGACAGGGACCGCTTCAGTCCCGGAACGTGTAGTGAGCGTCTGTAAGGGCAAAGGGTGATGCTCAAACGCCCCAGAACGAAGCCCGGAAGCTCAATTCCAGACAACACAGGAGGGAGGCTTCAGGAAACGGGGGCCTTCTTGCTGACCCCCCATCAAGTGGAACAACAGAGCATCACCCCAGTAGACCCCCTCCCTGCAGGAAGGAGAGCAGAGGGAACGTGGCTCTGTTCCCACAGAGCTGCCCTGGCCCTCAGCCGCCCCACACCAGTCGACCCCATGAAGGCGCAACCTTTTGACTCTTTGCAGACACATTTGGAAGATTCACTTCTAAAGGTTTGCACGAACACGGCAGCTCTCCAGGTCCTGTTCCAGGTCCCTGGGGATAGCCATGGGCAAGGCGGTGTCAGAGCAGTCCTGTGAAGCAGCCTCGCCTGGGACCCCAACAGCAGCAAGAGAGATTTCAGTTAGACCTAAGGAAGACTGCCCGAGTGGGACCCGGGGTTGACCCCTGGTTACAGACAAGTTTCAGGACCTGCCCCTCCTTCCCTGTGTGAAGCAACAGGCACATGCACCATGGCTCCATAAAGCAGAGGGAGAGCCAGGTAACACTGTCTCAGCGGCCACTGCCGTCTAAGACCTAGATAAGATGTATGTCTCACCGATTACCCACCCAGGCTTCCCAGGTGGTGCAGTGGTGAAGAATCCGCCTGCCAGTGCAGGAGACACGGGTTCGATCCCTGGGTGGGGAAGATCCCCCAGAGGAGGAAACGGCTACCCGCTCCAGTCTTCTTTCCTGGAAAATTCCATGGACAGAGGAGCCTGGTGGGCTTCAGTCCATGGGATTACAAAGAGTCGGACACGACTGAGCACATATACCTCTTAGTAGCTGAACCTCTAGACCTTAGGGTTTGTACTGCCAGTGCAGGAGACACGGGTTCGATCCCTGGGTGGGGAAGATCCCCCAGAGGAGGAAACGGCTACCAGCTCCAGTCTTCTTTCCTGGAAAATTCCATGGACAGAGGAGCCTGGTGGGCTTCAGTCCATGGGATTACAAACAGTCGGACACGACTGAGCACATATACCTCTTAGTAGCTGAACCTCTAGACCTTAGGGTTTGTTACTAGAATATGGAAAAATATTAGCACTGGCCCAGGGGCAGAAAGAAGTGGGTTTTTTAAAGCGTATTTATTTATTTGGCTCTTAGTTGCACTGTGCAGGCTCTTAGCTCCCCGATGAGGGGCTGAACCTGGCGCCCTGAACTGGGAACAGGGAGCCTTAACCACTGGACCACCAGGAAAGTCCTGAAATAAGAGGATTTAAATCAGTGGTTCCTTTAGGAGAATCTGGTGGCAAGTCATTGAAAGTCCTTGATTTCTTCAGGCCCTAACTTGGGAACCAGGAATGAAATTAGAAGATTTTCTTTCCCCTACTTTGTACCCGAAGAACTCCTCTTTACCCTTCCATGCCCAGCCCCAATGCCTCCTCCTCCTGGGAGTCCTCCAAGCCCCTCCCCATTGGCTGTTCCTCACTCTGAATCCCCATAGTCCTGCGACCCTGTCCTGGCACAGATCAGCCCACACTGGCTGCCTGCATGCAGCCCCAAGAGCATGTTCTGGACTTCCACTCCCCAGCATGCCAGCCCTGGCTGCCTGTGACTTTTGAGAGCTTGAAGTCTGACTTATACAAGTGGGGAAGTGCTGAAAGTGTAAAATACCTACCAAGTCTCAGACTTGGTACCCCAAATGAGTGTAAGATAGCTCATTAATAATTTTTAGATGACTCTCACGTTGAAATGATAATGGGTTGACATATTGGGTTAAATGAAATATATTAATAAAATTCACATAGTTCTTAATGTAGCTACAAGAAAATTTCCAGCCACGTGTTACATTCTACGGGGCAGACACTGCCCTCCCTGAGCCAGCACAGGGCAGCGATTTCTGAGCAAATGAACAGATGGATGGGTACTCAGGGCTGACCGTCATTGCCTTTGACCTGGAGCCTCAGACTCGTCCAGCATGACCCATGACCATCCTGTTGAAATTCAGATGCCATGAGAAGGTTACTGAATCCAGCTCCCCTCTCTGGAGTCTGCACCCAACCCCGTGTCACGTGATTGGCCCCACTGGGCGCCTGGCCCTGTGCTGGGGTCCCGGGGCACCCCGGGCAGAAGAGCGGGAGCTCCAGGGAGCAAGGCCCATCTGAGGTCTTCAAGCTCGTCCTCCGCCATTCTTGCAGGCAGGGCGGCGGGCGGTGCAGGCACAGGGAAGGCTGGGTGCCCGCCTCCCGCTCGGGGTCAGTGTCGTCCAGGCCAAGCTAGGCAAGGAAGCGGGAGGCAGGGCTGTTTCTCCCCGACTTCTCACCGAGGTCTGCCCTGCCTGCGCCGTCCAGAGAGGCTCCCCACCCGCCCCTCACCTTGACTCCTCAGAGCCAGCGGAGCCTGAAGGCCCTGCCCGCCACCCCCAGGAGCAGGAGCTCGACCCCTATGGCTCCTGCGTGTCCGTGGCCTCCCTTCTCCCCCGACTCACTCCGAACTGGGAAGGTGCCCACCTGAGCCTTTCTACAGGCCCCGGGGACGAGCCTGGGGTGTCACGTCGGGGTCCAAGGTGGTCCAAGTTCATCATCACTTCCCACTGCACAGTGTCTGGCCACAGAGGGGGCTCCCACTGGACAAGGTCCGCAAGCAGCTGGAGTCCCAAACTCTCGTGGGTGGTCCCCGCACTCTGCGCCCCCACTCCTCGGCCGCCGGCGGCCCCTCCCCAGCCGCCTCCCCTCCACGGGGTGTGAGGGGATCGCTGCCTTTGGACCCGGCTCTGAAAGTTCCCTCTCCCTTTCCAGAACAGGAGGTGGGGAAGGCAAGCATTTGGGGGAAAGGAGGGCCCTCGGCCAAGAGGAAATCACAGATGCTGTTACGGGCCCCGGCTGCGGCCAGCAGAGTCCATTCCGGCAGCTCCGCGGGCCCAGGCACCGGGACGGAGAGCCAGGGCAGCCCCTGTCCGTCACAGAGCAGCGCGCGGCGGGGTGGGCGCCGGAAGAGGGAGGGCCGGAGACGGTTGCCAGGGAGACGGCAGGGCTTAGCCAATCAGCCCGGGCCATCAGGCTTGGCTGCGGAGGGCCCTCGATGGGGCGATGCTGCCCTCTGGTGGTGGACGGGGGAGCTGGTGGCCCGGCCCCGTCTCTGCCATCAGGCCAGCTAGAGGCACCGCTGCAGGCTTCTCTGGGGCAGGGGGCCGAATGCCTCCAGTTGTGGCGAGATTCACAACCATCCTGTGCTTCAAGGAGGTTACCTTTTGTTGGAGTCAGCCTCACTTGCTGCCCCACAAGCCAAGGAAAGCTATTGGCAGGTAATAGATCATGAAATGAATCTTTCCTTGATTCTGACTTAATTCAGTCATAATCCACAAAGTTCTGTGCACAAAGAAAGGCCTTATTGAACTTGATCAATCAGTAAGTCACTTTGGTTTGATAAATGCTGAAGTTGCAGAATTGAGGAAGTTTCCAAAATCACTGCAGACGGTGACTGCAGCCATGGAAATAAAAGATGCTTGCTCCCTGGAAGGAAAGTTATGACCAACCTAGACAACATATTAAAAAGCAGAGACATCATTTTTCCAACAAAGATCAGCATAGTCAAAGCTGTGGTTTTTCCAGTGGTCATGTATGGATGTGAGAGTTGGACNTTTTCCCATCTATTTGCCATGAAGTCATGGGACCAGATGCCATGATCTTAGTTTTCTGAATATTGAATTTTAAGCCAACTTTTCCACTCTACTTTTTTACTTTCATCAAGAGTCTCTCTAGTTCTTCTTTGCTTTCTGCCATAAGGGTGGTGTCACCTGCGTATCTGAGGTTATTGATATTTCTGCAGGCAATCTTGATTCCAGCTTGTGTTTCATCCAGCCCGGCATTTCACATGATGTACTCTGCATATAAGTTAAATAAGCAGGGCGATAATACACAGCCTTGACGTACTCCTTTCCTGATTTGGAACCAGTCTGTTGTTCCATGTCCAGTTCTAACTGTTGCTTCTTGACCCGCATACAGATTTCTCAGGAACTAAGATCCTACAAACTGTATGGTGTGTCCTCCCCAAAAATGTTTATGACATACAGTTTTACATTCATATTTATATACAGTCATATTTATAATACAATACTGGAAATACTATTACATTAGGAAAAAAAACACCCCTGATGATAGGTTGATATTCAGTTTCTGTGGTTCCTCCAATTAGGAGAGAGAGGGACACTGTACTGTAATTCGAGTTTTCTGGAAGCAAAGTTATAAACAGTAAGAAAACAAATACACCATTTATTTTATATTAAATATCACTAACTTATGCCTAGGTAAACATAGACTAGTATCCACGTAAGTTTTATGCTTTCATGACATACATAACTTTTTCTTAAATTGTTTGTTATTTCTAGGCTATGCAGTTTGTCTGTGAATTTTTTCATATTGTCCTGCATCCATATATCCATCTGTCCACCCATCCATCCATCTATTCACTCATCCATCCATGTACCCATCCATCCATCCATCTATCCATCCATTTTCCCATCTATCTATTCATCTATCCACCCATCCATCCATCTATCATCCACCCGCCCTTCCATGTATCCATCCATCCATCCATCCAGCCACTCATCCATTAGAATTGCTGGAACATATTCAAGCTCTATTTTTAATTTTTTGAGGCCCGCTATACTATTTTCCATACCGATAGTGGTAATTTACATTGCCTTACAAAGGGTTCCCTTTTCCCAAAGTCCTTGCCAGTGTTTGCTATTTCTTATCTTTTTGGTGATGGTCATTCTAATGGGTGTGAGGTGGTATCTCATCTCGGCTTTGATTTGCATTTCTCTGATGGTTAGTGATGTTGAACATCTCTATGTGTACTTGTTGGTTATTTGTATATGTCTTCTTTGGGAAAACATCTATTCAGTTACTCTGCCAATTCTTAAACCAAATTTTTGAGTTTTGTTACTGAGTTGCATGTATTCCTAACATGATTTAGCTATTATCCCTTCATCAGAGACATGACTTGCAGATATTTGTTCCTATTCTGTAGGTTGCCTTTTCCTTTTGTTCATATTTCCCTTTGCTGTGCAGAAGCGTTTAGTTTGATGTAGTTCTACTTGCTTATTGTTACTTTTGTTGCTTTTGCTTTTAGTGTCAAATCCAAAATCTGTCTTCAGCTTCTTCCAAAGTCCTGTTAATGTTGATATTTTGACATCTTACCAAAATTATGAATGTTTTTAATGGCATCTACAAGGGTGAATCCTTTCTAGAATATTTTTAGTTAACTTGGCTCAGATCCATCAAAGGAACCACTACCTACGGCAGTTGCAGCCTTACAACATTTATTTCTTAAGTAATGAGAATTGAAATGACTCCGTGATCCATGGGCTACAGAATGGATGTGGTGTTAGCAGCCGTGGGAACAACGTTGATCTCACTGTACATCATCAACCCCATCAGAGCTCTTGGGTGGCCAGGAGCATTGTCAAAGAGCAGTCCTATTTTGAAAGGCATCTTTTTTATTTTCTGAGTAGTAGTTCCCAATAATGGGATTAAAATGTTCTGCAAACCATACTGTAAACAGACGTGTGGTCGTCCAGGCTTTGTTTTTCCATGTATAGGGCACAGGCTGAGTATCACTGAATGAGTCAGCATCATTCATAAGAGCCCCAGGATCTTCACTCGGTGCATGAGCACTAGCTTCAGCTTCAGGCCTCCAGCTGCGTCAGCCCCCAACAAGAGAGTCAGCCTGCGCCTTGAAGCTTTGAAGCCAGGCACTGACTTCTCTCTGGCTACCAAAGGCCTGGATGGCAGCTTCCTCCAGGGGAGGCTGTTCCTCTACCTGAGCATCTGCCGTCTAGTGCAGCCTCCCCCATGGATGGTCTGAGCTGGGTCTTCCCGATGACTCACTGCAGCTTCCACGTCAGCACTTGCTGCTTCCGCTGCACTCGTCCGTTATGAGACGGCTTCTCCCCCGAACCCTCACGAGCCAACCCTGCCAGCTTCAGAGTTTCCTTCTGCAGCCTCCTCACCCCACTCAGCCTTCACAGAATCGAAGGGATTCGGGTCCTCCTCTGGATGAGGCTTTGGCTTAAGGGGATGTTGGGCTGGTTTGATCTTCTATCCAGACCACCTGAACTTTCTCTGCACCAGCAGGAAGGCTGTCTCTTTCTTATCATTCGCGTGATCCCTGGAGCAGCACTTTTAATTTCCTTCAAAGGCTCTCTTGGCCTTCACACCTTGGTTAACTGTTTGGTGCAAGAGGCCTAGCTCCAGGCCTGTCTCAGCTTCTGACATGCCTTCCTCACTGAGCTCCATCGTTTCTAGCTTTGATTTAAAGTCAGAGATGAGCAGCTCTTTCTTTCCCTTGAACACCTGGAGGTCACAGAAGGTTCTTAATCGGCCAAATGTCACTATTGTTGCGTCTTGGGGAAAAGGGAGGCCGGAGGAGAGGGAGAGAGACGGAGGCGCGGTCAGAACACATGTTTGTCGGTTCAGTCCGCTGACGTATGCGGACGCTCGTGGATCGTCGGTTCAGTCCACAGCCGGATGCGGGCGCAGCTCCTGGCTTCTCAGATAATGAGAACAGTAACACCAGAGGTCACAGGTCACTACATCAGATCTAACAATGATGAAAATGTTTGAAACGCTGGGAAAATTCCCCAAATGCAACACAGAGACACAAGATGAGCAAATGCTGTTGGGAAAATGGAACTAATAGACTTGCTTGACACAAAACTTTAATTTGTAAAAAATGAAATATCTGTGAAGTTTAATAAAATGAGCTTTGTCTGTATTGAAATGCCATCCTTTTCCTACTGTACATTTTTGGCTTCTTTGTTGTCAGTGGATAGACAATATACATACGGGTTTATTTTGGGATTCTCAATTCTGTTCCCTTGGTTTATCTGTCTGTTCTTTATACCAATACCATACTGTTTTAATTATTATAGTTTTGCAGCATAATTTGAAAGCAGGAAGTGTGATGCTTCCAACTTTTTTTCTTTCTCAAGATTGCTCTGGGGACTCCTTGGGGGTCCAGTGGTTAAGAATCTGCCTGCCAATGCAGAGGACACAGGTTTAATCCCTGGTCCAGGAAGATTCCACCTGCTGGGGGGCAGCTTAGCCACGGTCACTGAGCCCGTGAGCTGCCACCACAGAAGCCCACGAGCCTGAGAGTCAGCAAGAAAGAAGGCACCGGAATGAGGAGCTCGTGCCCCACACCGAGAGGAGGCGCCTCTTGCTGCAGCTAGAGGAAGCCCAGGTGCAGCCACAGACCCAGCACATCTGAAAAGACAAGATCGCTTTAGTTATTTGGTTTCAAAAAAATTAGGGCTGTTATTTTATTGTATTTTTGAGCTGTGACACAAGGCGTGAGGGATGTTGCCTGACCAGGGATTGGATCTGGGCCATGGCAGTGAGAGCCTGGAATCCTAACACTAGTCTACCAGGGAACTTCCTGGGCATTTTTGTGTTTTTTTAAAAAAATGATTGCTGTTTTATTTTATTTTTAAACGTACCATTTTATTTAATTTTTTTTAGATCATTGTGCACGGCATGTGGGATCTTAGTTCCCTGACCGGGGATGGACCCGTGCCCCTGCAGTGGGAGCACAGTCTCAACCACTGGACCAGGACAGTCCCTGCTGGTTCTGTTTCTGTGGAAAATGCCATTGCAATGGTACCGAAGCTGCAGATTGCTTTGGATAGTGTGGACATTTTAACCACACGAATTCTTCCAATCCATGAGTGTGGAATATCTTTCCATTCATGTGTATTTTCTTTAATGTCAAGGAAAATTATTTAAAGGTTGAAAAGAAGAAAGAAAAAGCTATCCGTTTTAAGTCATCTTGGGGCATTATTCTAGGGCATGCAAGGAGTGTTCTTACCTAGAGAATGTGCCCGTGAACTTTGCTCTTTACTGTTAATTAAGAGCCCGGACTATGCTAACCCATAGGTT